GATAGTGAGAAAATAGGAGTAACTCACCCAGATATGCGGGAGTACCAACCACAGACCGTCTGAAACTGCGCGCACCGATAATCCGTGCAAAACCAAAATCACATAATTTAACCTGAAAGCCGAATCAATTCTCTCTGCTCAGATCAACGGATAAAATTCTATTTTCTTTAAGTCTGAAGACATCCGAAAGGTTTTCAGCTATACACAAGCGAAGAAAGTTGATGGCTGATGAATTCAACTTTATTTCGCAATTCAGCTTCGATTCAAACGCTCTCATTTTTGAACACTCGAAACAATGGAATTTGAAAATGCTCTCCCAGAACTGGAGAACCAAACAGCTTGCCAACTGCGAAGGTCAAATGGTGTGGACAGTTTATAAGTTAAGTGAACTGTTTCAAGACGTTATGTTTAGGCACCGTAATAACAGAAATCAATTTGATTACTTGAGGAAAATCGGATTCGGACGCCAGAAGAATATTCTCGGGTTTCAGGTCACAATGNACGATGTTCGAACCATGAAGATAACGTAACGCCACGAGGATCTGAATATGATCAAGATTTCAGAAAATCTCTCTGATTAACTGATATCATGAATAGTTGCACGGCACAAATATATGAAAACAAAGAGCGTACTTGATAAACGAGAAATTCAGTGATACGTTCCGAAAGTCGCCCCTTCTCACTACTCAGAATCATTTCTAGCATATCTCCCTTCAATTTCTCCATCACCACAAAAATTCGATCCGGTGTTTCCAGCATCTGCTCAAATCCAACCACACCCGGATGATGAACACTCTATAAAATGTTCGACGTAAGCAAATGTCAACGAATGCGCGAATAGTTTCCATTAAAATACTGCTTGAACGCATAACCCATTGATAAATTGTCAACAAAACGAATGTGCAATCAGCAAAAAAATAAAGAAATAATAAAAGCTGAATGATCAGTGGATTAAAGATGAAACAGATTGAATAATAAAAATAATAATAATAACAATAATAATAATAAAAGTTCTAACAAGGAACGAAAGATAGACGATAAAACTAACTCGCAGAATTTCCACTTCAGTCTTCAATGCTACTTCCTTACTACTCGGGAATTTCATTTTATCAATGAGTTTCACTGCCACGTGTTTACCCGACTTGCGTTGAATGCCTGTAGAAAGCAACGATTACATCCAATTTCTGACTGAGAAGCTGTCGAACGACAACAAAATATAATACTAAACAACGATCGAAAAAATTTCAAATAGAAATTATTTCGCTGATGTAAATTAACAATTCAGAAATCGAAACTGTGAAAGTAATTCGTTAAGAATTTGACGATCAGGTGACGAGTGCAGATATGAATAAATAGTAAATAAATGATAAAAATATTGGANGAAGCAATGTCCATCACCTCCATATACGGTACCAAATTGTCCTGAGCCAAGAACTTCATCCACAAATATTTGGTAGAGTTGTGAAAATTCACGTTCACTCTGAATTTGTACCCCAAGCTGGCCAGTTTCACCTGAAATCCCGCAGTAAGAACGTGGAGTTTCTTAATCGAATACTTAGGAAGAATTAGGGAAAATGTGACCAATAGATGCAGAGGAATACAGCATTCTTTCTGGACGAAATGGGAAAGTGAACAAATTAATCGCAGACCAAGTATGGGAGCTTTAAGCAGTGACATATCCATCGATGAAGACGATTGATTCGTAACAGGCATTAGTGCTTGACGTATTGCATTCACCCAACTCGACGAATCGTCATCTAATGAGCTCGTTTCAACGATTCCACAGCTATGATTATCTGTTTCCTGAGCTCGAGCTGAAAATCAAATTATATCATGCTGAGACAACAACACGTCAGGTGTGTCACAGTCGCTCGCTCATTTACGCCATTGATTAGTCATTACCCGTATTTTTTGCTTCAATGAATTCAGTTTCATTCTCAATGTTTCACTATTTTTTGATCAGCTCCATGCGGTATTCCGAGTTTTAGGATATGAAAATCGAATGGCATTTTCGAACCAACGATAATTCTTAACTGCAGCAAGTACGCTATCATTTAGGAGACTGACTACCGTCGTGTACAATTGAATGCTTTGGAATTCGAAATATGTCGTCTTCAATCGATTGCGAGTAAGAATCCACTGACGACTGATAACACTAACCGATGAAATAGGTGCATTTGTGAGATTCGATTTCGAAATGATGGGTTAACTTCTGCTTGAGCGGTTGATGACAGTCAATTTGGTGCACTTCGAGAATCTCATTTAGCGGCAGTTCCTGCAGTTTTGCAAATATTCAATCAGTGATTTTATTCTCATTCTCTCATTACCCACAAATTTACGAATTTTCGTTTCATTACACTCTAAAACATGGCCAGTGAATGCTCAACGAAGAGGAATCAATGAAGTTATGGCACCACGACAAACCTTGTAATAACGAGTGGTCACTTCATCTTGATACATCACAATCGATTTTGAGTCCAACCTCCAGTAATGTTTCTTTCGCTGTAACACAAACAATTCCCGAAAAGCATTGAAATTCGCAATTTTCAAACGAAGTTTATAAGTCGTATTATTAAATCTATGATATTTATCGTGAAATGATGAGGAATTCATTCACTGCTCATTCATACTGTGAGATTACCGATGTTTACCGATGCTGACAAACGAATATTTTCTCACGCGGTTTGTATCACATTCAAACGAACTTGTTTAGTTCTCTATAATAGAAATTGAATGATGCATAAATATGTTTCACACTTTTCTCGTTATGTTCTTATCGGTTTTCAAAGCGACATCCATATAATCTGCTTGAAAATTCCCGTAAAATGTGCAAAAAACATTTCACATATTTCATTGTGACATACTCTATTGAGTCAAGACATTCTCTTCATGAACATAATCCCGGCAGAAAACGAACCATATTGTTCTCGTTTGTGTAGTGCATCATCCAGCCTTCTTTCAGCGTTTTTTTATCGTGACGTTTGGTTTGTTTCTTTGACATGACAACTCGCATCAGAGGAATATTCTGCAAAATACGCTAAGTTAAACCAGGCGATTCACAATTAGTGCTGCCTCCTTTTCGGTAGCATTAACGCCGCCAATAACATGCTGTTCATAGGGCTTTTTGAATTGTGTTTGTGACTTTTTTGAACAAACACGCTTTGAAGAGACAGATGCACATCGCAATCAGGGATGATTGGCGAGTGCCTACAAGTGCAGTTCATGATTTCTACGGCTGAATATTTATGACCAGTTAAGCGCACATAGAAGCCTTGAATGCTTATGAGGGAGATTCAGTGTTGTTCAACAAACGACATTCATTCAATTCAGTGATTCTCCTCTACAGAAACGCTATCTGAATGATGCGCAAGTGCAGGAACTCGCGTACGGGACCAGCTTATTGTTGTATTGATAGAATGATGAGCAACTCGTGAAAATTTCCACAATGATGAGCAAACTTGTGAAGTGGATACGAAAACAAAGAAAGGCATAAAGGGTGCGTGCCTGTGACTCGGTAATATGATCTACTTCAACTGGATACTGTTGTTCGTTACCGTAGCTTGCGTCACCATTTTTAGTTTTTCGCGACGGTGCACTTGGTGTCGTTTGAGCCCTTTTACGATAATCTGATGTTGAAGCATTACTCGTACGACTGATCCTTTCGCTACCTCAAAATTATTCAGTCTTCATTTTGAAAGCAATAAAAAAACAAGAATTACAAAGAAAATTCATCACAAACTCTTGCAAAAGGCACATTTTGTATANATATACCACTGTCAATACAAACTTTGTTAACGACGAGAAATCACATTTGGACGATTGTGGAAAAAGTGAAATTGCAAAATAAATTTTATTTTCTGATCTTCAAACATGCTCAAGCTTACAATTAAAGTGAGCAGGAGTCACTGCTAAATGCGTTCACTGGAAATGTTGCAGTGGGTGAATTCCTTGTGAAAGAGAACAGCTTAAACAAGCGGAAATAATCGGGAGAGGGAGAACAGTTTGCTGCTTTGGGATTGGAAATAGCAGTCTTGAATATGATCGATAACAGTCAGAAAGAACGATGAGAAGAGACGAAATTAGTTTAGAGGCAATTACAAATGAATAAGAAAACAAAAAAAAAGAATAATGAAACAAGCGATGAAGATATAAACGAACCATCGACATCCTCACTTTCAGTATCAGTCTGATTGCTAATCATTCTTAAATTTTCCATTGAACCACCGAAATTGCTGTCTGAATTAAAACGAATATAAGCAATCGACTCTGGAAAATGTGAACAAACATTTGGGAAAAATTGTAAACATAACCGGAAAATTTTGGGAATAAGGAAAATGAAATGAATGAAAGATATCGATGAGATATGCGAGATAACGAATCAAAACCATCTCATCGATGTCATCGTTTGCAGCAGGAAAATGCAATTTACACGAAGTCATTAACCAAAAGTGCAAACTGCCATATTCTTCAGCGTTTCTCCATCGAAATTCCAATACATCTAGGCTCTTTCCCTGTGAAAAAAAATCCGAACATAGCACTTACTATTCTCATCTGCTTCCAAGAAAAAATTCAACGGTATGATCGAACTTCCCGGACAATCTCTCGTCGCTCGTTCGATGCACTTCTTGTGACAATTAAATTTGCAATCTGAAATATCCTAGCTGTGAAATTCACATCACGCGCGCAATTCAACAAAACAATGAACGAAAAAACAAAGAATTGAACTATGAGAATTTTTTGGCCAAACATCAGAGTCATTTCAAACACAACAACTATAAGTACTCAGCAGTAAATTCTCAAGATTCTCGAACACCAGCGGGTAGAACGTGCACAAGAGTAATTCAAACAGTCTTCGAGCATAAGTCAGATCGCAGAAGGAAGGAATCTCCAATTATGCTGATCCAATATCCGAATGTTCCACTCAATATAAGAGCATCCTTGCATCGACTCACTCACCTATACACTGCAAACCCTGCCGAATAATGCCTTTCAGCAGTTTCTTGCACACCCCACAAACCGTTGGCCGTTTATATGAATGAACTTGAAATGTGTGCGGAACCTGGAACACAAAAAGATCGCAATTACACTGATTGTGAGCATCCTCAACAGGAATCTAAAATTGCGTAACTTAATTCATTCGAAAAGCGTTTATGTTCACTGATTTCGATACCTTAATCTTTGTTGCTTCAGCCACCTCCATCCATAACGGTCGTCCACTCCAACTACAACTTCGATGATCTTTACGAGGCATTTGGAGGAACTGAAAAAAAAACATATACCAGTTGGTCCACTGAACTGAAAGGATAATAATGATATCTTAAAGCAGTAATGGATACGTATTGACAAGCGAACGTATAAGGAACAGAAGAAGTATGAGGAATATTATCAGGTTTCCGTACGTTTCCGTCGGATGATTCGTCATTGTCGGTTTGTTCCGATGTTGTGACGAGTATATCTGGCGTTGTTAGCTGATGAACCATTGACTTATAAGAATCGAACTGAAATTTTGGCCGTATCAAATAACTCGTCGTCGATCTGAATCGCCAATACACCTACTTCAATCCTATATGAATTTTAGGTACTTGGAAAAGAAACTGTTCAAGAACTAGGACTCAGTGTCATTTATATGCATGTATTCGCTAGATTCATTGATCTGTGGATTCATCAACCAGAGAAGATCGTGCTATCCTCACAAAAAATCCAAATTAGATAGGATAGGAGTGTTTATCTCAAAATGAACGGAGCGATACCGAGCGATCGCTTTCGGAAGTGATTTGTTCGTTAGTCAACGGCAGAGTTGTTACGTCAGTAGACATCGGCTGCATACTCCATGAAGAGCATATCGTGTTTGCGCTTGCATTCTTGAATAAGAGGAAATCATTTTTACATTCGATAGATTTGAACAGATCCATGGAAAGTTCAGTTCCTCTAGGCGTCACATATTGAATGCGATTATTCGAACATAATCAGCAGAATTGTACCCGTGTTATTTTTGGTGAAGCAGACCACTCAACAAACCAATATGCGAGAGGGATGTGAATATTCTTTCATGATTCCCAATTCCTCATAACTTCAATTTAACTAATTACCACTCCGCTAAAATTTCGAAACGTATCCAACAAGTCTTCAAGACATCTCAAAAGTCTTTGGATCATAAAGAGTGTTGGTCGTGCATGCGAATGAAAATTCAGGATCGAAACACTCAGATATTCACACGAATCGTTTGATAGTTTTCAGGAACATTTGCATTTTTAGGTGAGAGTCTCTGTCAAAGCCTCAGAAATATTCATTTTCACATATTGAAACATGCACAAACGTTTTATTGGTGTTTGTCCTTTCAGATTGCATCCATCGCCAAAATTAGTTTAAATTCAACTCAAAATTGAGAGCAATTAACAAGAGAGCCCAACAAAAGACTCAACTCAATTCAAGAAGCACTTCAAAGTGTTTTTAGAAACACTTAAATAATGAAATTGGCTCCATTAGTGTATTATTCACTGAACACTTTTGTTCGTTCAAATCAAGCCATTCAGTAAAAGTACCATCNTAGCAATCCTCTTCATGAGTGTCCCTCTCCACAACATTTTGAAGAGCGACACTTAAAAGAATCGCTCATCAATAGTATGGCGTTGTTGGTTAGTGCATTAAAGACCACATGGCATATGGCGAGAATGATTGTGCAATGAATTTCGAAAGCGCTGAAACGTTAAGGAGTTGGTTGAAGTCTGGAATGGGTGATTTCTGCAAACAGAATTTATTTTTTGGGGATGGGAAGTTGGCAATGGAGCAGCAAACGAAAACGTACTGAAAGGTGATGGTGCATCTTGAGTGTACCGAGAGAGTTTCGTGGCGAAAGAGGCGAAAGAGGTATAGCAGATGGACGTCGTTGACGAGAACCATTGCAGTTGTTCGGAATCTTTGATGCGCAACGTTTATGATAATTAAGACCACATCCTGAAAAAATAAGTGAATGATGAAAATTTCATTCAATAATTCCGATTTAATGGTGGTTTTGCTAAGCAATACATTATTTTGTCGTGAATGAGACTCGGAATAAATCGAGCTGATGAGGAAAATTTTAACGTTCGGGTTGCTGAAGTTACAATAAACCAGTGATCCACCTTGACATTTGAGACCTTGCTTAACCAAGCCAAACAGAAGTTCGCCGCAGAAATCACAAAATGTCGGCGATTTATAACTGTGCACGTAGAGATTATGTGGATGAACAACCAATCGATCACATTGTGGATACGCTGAAAAATAATTCATTCGAGTGGAAAATTTCGAATCGTTGATCCTTTCATGTTCCAATTTTCATAAGTCTATTGTTTTTTGCCATTTTGACCGAATATATTCGCTATGGTCGCTTCAAGTTTTTTTTTCACTCACAATCAGCACTTCTTTCCCTTTCATTTTCACTCCGTTCCTCACTATTCATCTTTGAAATATTCATGAACCAACTGCAATCCATTTCATGAATCCAATTTGCGTGAATTACCCAAGAATTGAACCTTATTTTGTCGAGTAATTTGGTATATCCAATTTTTTAATTGAGAAAAAAAAGAGAGCGATCGATAGAATTGGGACAACGAAACATTTTGAATAACCGTGCTGGAATGGTTGCTTCTCGATTTTTTAGAATGATGGATTTTTGATCATGCACTTAGGAGCTTTTTGCGAAATCATTCATGTTCTCACTTCAGGAAATGAACCAAAAGGAAATGAACACAAAATTTTGCTATTCAGCGCGTTCATCTCGTGACTTTTCATACGCGCAATCATATTTTAGAAAGTTTAAGCCGTGTTTAGACAAGTTGCTGTCTCTACTCAACACGACTGAAAAACTTACACTTACTCGCTTCATATTTCAAGCAGTTCGTTGTTCTTCCCAACTGAGAAACCGAAAAAAATTTGCCTGACAGTTGAGCGGAGAAATAATGACAAACAGCGATCAAAAAGTGCGAAGCGTCATTCATTGGTTCATTCGATGGCAATTAATAGCCTTATAAAACTTTTGGAAAAAGAATTTTATTCGGCAACAAAGACGAAATTAGCAGAGTGATAGAAATGGCTTGCGAATAATATGCACTCTGAAGAACGATCACAAAACGAATGAGAATGTGATGAATACGGCAAGAATCGATATTCTCACGAGTGATGATTGTTTGCTCATTTAAAATGATGCACTTAAATTTTGAATGTCGAAATTCATGCTGCATACCGCAAAAAAAAAAGAAGAATCCAGCAACCATTGGAACAAACTTTTTGCAGCGTAATTTTACAATGATTCCGTTTAGATGATAAGATGATTTTTTTGAACTGGGATTTGTATTCTTTAAGTCATTTGATTTTTATCAAATGAAAATTTGTTAACCAAATGTTTATATTTCATGCGTAAATTTGAAATTGCTTCGGAATTGGCAAGTTTTTTTCAGAGGAATTATCTCGCACTCAGCGATAATCCATTGGCCGTCATCAATGTGAAATTTGAAATACATTTTTCTGTTCGGAATTTCCGCAGTCCCATCGGATTAAACGTTCTTCTCGAGTGAATTTTCAAGGACGATTACAAACGGGTGTCACTCGTCACTGGAACTAGCCAGCCTATTCTTTTTTTTGTTGTTTGTTTACACTTCATTTTCTACATTTTTTGTATACGTTTAAGCAGAGTTATATATTTTATAAATTTATGTATGGACTTCTTATGTTCCTTTTCATTTTGTCAACGTTGTATTTGTATTTGATTCGTCTCATTCGAAAGTCCCTCTTTGCAATATTCAAGCGCTATCGTTAAGTGGTAGTTTTTGTTTTGCAGTCAGAGCTTGTAGAAAATTTATTGCTTGACAGGAGGGCGCTTCTTTGAGTGCGCGCTTGCATATTGGCTCGTTTCGGGCGTTTTTTTTTTCAACGAATCGAGAATGCTCAATGCTAATTATAGATGTCTGAAATGCAGCAATTCTTGGAAGTAATGCTTGCTCTGTTAAGCAATCGCTCTGCTCGGCGAATCTTCTCGACGATCCATCTAGGTCTCAGAAACTGTGAGGAAGAGACAAAAGAGAAAAATGAACCAAAGAACCAAAAAAAAGCGAATGCTTGCGTGCTATGTACGCATACTCACGAAGCAGTCAAGCGAATTGAATTTCTCCAATGGAG